GAGACCGGTTAGTAGGGTGCCGTGCACAAGTCAGTTGGAGGTACCCCCTCGAAATTTCGCACGTGCAAGACTCACCCCCTCGCTCGCTCCGTTAGTCGCCCCATAAGGCGTTATACTGGTGATACCTTACACGATAACTTCACACGTCGATCGAGAGTTAAAGCATGGATGAAGGAGAACCAGGGGATGAAGGTTCTTTCATCCATGGTTAAAGTGTGCAATAAGAACTTCTTGGGTGAAGACAAGACCAACACTTTTATCAAGCTCACAGATTTTTTAATGATACGGTATTTTCTCTCTACCTACTACGCCCTTCTCACATTCATTTTTCTTAAGTGTTTTTGGGGACAAAAAATATATGTTGTTCCCCTTTCAGGCTTGGGGGCATGACCCCGTGGCCCCCCTGGATCCGCTAGGCCGAAACTAACTAGGTCGTTTTCAAACGGTCTGATATTTCAGGTCATAGTTTGCAAACGGCCGGTGTTTTCAGGTAGTTTCATATGGCCTGACTGGGCCAGGCCGTTTGCAAACGGACCGAATTTTCATACGGCCTGTAACATATATTCAGATTTCGACATCTGTCGTAGCATCAAATGCTGATGTGGCGCACTCAAAAGCCGGAATTGGTCCTTGGATGCCGTAAGGACCCTTTTAAGAAATAAGTGACCCGACTGACCCTTAGAGATTGGCCTGAGCTGTGACCGAAATAAGTCTTTTACCGTTTCGCAGGAAGGGACAAAAAGGTCCCTCATATGCTTCTTGTACAATTACGAAACAAAACAAGTTTTTTTTTCAACGAAAACTCAGTGAGTTTTCCTAAAAAATTTATTGCGCATATTCCGTGAATGAAAAGTTGCCGGGTCATGTCAGGTCAGGCTGCCACAGCAAGTTTGTTAACTTGACAGCTCAATCGATATTTATGCAATAAGACCTTCTCGGGTGACGATAAGACATGACGACACTTTATGAAGGAAGCTAGTAAACCCGGTAGTTTCTCCATAGGCGCGGGAACCGGGGGGAGGGGGCAGTGGTGGCAGCTTGCCCCCCCCCCCCCCCCCAACTCTGGGGCCGTGCGGGCGGTGCCCCCACAACTTTCAGACAGAATACCGCTCCTTTTTGCAAATGTTTTCTTTTTTTGTTGAAAAAGCCAAGGGATGAAAAATAAGTGGCCTAAAACCGGCGAGAAAACTATATTTGGGGGATCCTAGGTTGATCTCTATCATGGTGTGACCTCCCCCCCCCCCCCCCGTCTAAAAGTAGTTCCCGCGCCCCTGGGTTTCTCTACGCTATTGAATCACGCTGCTGATTCTAGTAAGTATCTACTACACAACCTTCTCACATTAATTTTTCTTCAAGCGTTTTGGGGGCCAAAAGATATGTTGGCCCCCTCTTTCAGGCTTTTTGGGCCCATGGCCCCGGTGGCCCCCACTTTCAAACGGAATACCGTCCTTTTTTGCAACTGTTTCTTTTTTTGTTGAAAAAGCCAAGGGATGAAAAATAAGTGGTCTAAAACCGGTGAGAAAACTAGATTTGGGGGGACCCTAGGTTGATCTCTATTATGGTGTGCTCCCCCAGTCTGAAAGTAGTTCCCGCGCCCCTGACTTTCTCTACGCTATTGAATCACGCTGCTGATTCTAGTAGGTATCTACTACGCAACCTTCTCACATTAATTTTTCTCCAAGCGTTTTGGGGGGGGGGCCAAAAGATATGTTGGCCCCCCCTTTCAGGCTTTTGGGGGGGGGCCATGGCCCCGGTGGCCCCCCCTGGATCCGCCAGTGGATTAGTGATATCCCAAACTCTGCGAGAATGGAAATGCATAGTCATCGTAGTCAAGCATTCACGTTCCATAGCAAAAGTGTCTCAGGCAAACGGTATTTTGCGGTGAATTTTGAGCCGTGTGGAAATGCATCATGAAGTAAATTCAACGAAAACATTATCACGCAACGATATCTTCACGTCTTTTGATCTTCACTATACGAAAGAACATACATTTTTTAGTATGTATGGGGAATTTCTAGTTAATCCAATAATAAATATGGCAGTTAGAGGCCTGCTATTGAGTAACATGTCGCCGGCTGAGGCGGGCTCGGCCGATGCGGGAAACACAGCAATCACAATTTTGTGTTTACACGTTCATATTTCAATTGTTTACCAACCGATTTTCAAAATTCTTTCACCATAAGATTGCCTGTACATTTCTTAGTCTTCTCACAAAATTTGACGTGAATCGAACGTAATCAGCGGTAGGGAGCGCGATGTAAAGACGGAACCGTTCCGTTCCGTCCCGGCACAGTCTACAATTCAGGCGGCGCGTAGCGGTCGGCGCCGGCTGCCGAGTCGCCGCGTCGCCGCGGCGACAGGATGTTCACTTTACACCGCTATTACTAGAACAGTTGTGAACCGATTTTCTTATTGCTTGCACGATGAGATGTCCAATTCAATTCTTGACAAGTAGCCATAATTAATTTCGCATTAATCTTATGAGATATTGGCGGTAAACAGGAGGGGTGGGCGAAATTCGCTCTTCCCCTTCACTGCGCGTGCTAACATACCTTTGCATATGTGCAATTTTCTTCGAAACTTATGAATGGCCCACTCTAATTTTTTCACAGGTTGTTAAGAATATGGTAGGCAATAAAATATATGAAAATGAGCCAAATCGAAGGTGACGTGTTTTTTGCTATTTCAATATTTGTGCTTAAGAACAGAGTTAAGCAAATTTCAAGGTCATATATTTAAGTAGGTGCAATTCTAAACAAATGCTTGAGAAATTACCTAAACAGTAAGGTTTATTTCATTCAAATCAAACAAGTACAACCAAAGTTATAGGCGTTCAAAAATATAAAGATGCAACATTTTGTAAAAATTTGATGCCCTATATTTAGAAGACCTGTGGTCAGAATGTGCAAAAAACATCAATGTAATGTCCGGGGCCACACAGGAACTCGCTCACAAATTTATAATGAAATCGCTGATGGTAAGGTGCAAAACAGCCGATTTTTGTTCGATTTGACGTGGAATGCCCCACCTACTACAAATACCCGGCAGGACCTCTACTGGTTGACCTGACCAGACCTGACCCGACCTGGCCTAAATGAATGAAGACATCATCTGTGATCAAAACTAGCATGATATTTGTGATCAGCACCCCGAAAAACCCCATAGCAGCCACACTACGACCGACGACGTTCTAACAGGTCCCAATTTTCCCGCCTTTTGAGTCATTGACCTGACCTGGAAGGTCAACCGATGACCTAGGACCTTAAAGTTGGGTATCATCGGCTTCCTCTCGTCACGGGCAACACGCTCGTTTTTTTCCGCGAAGCTCTAGCTTGATCAGAAGCGAAACGGCAAACGGCGAAACCTTATGCGTTCGTGGCTGGAAAAACACCAATACGGGCGAGGGTCAAGTTGAAAGTATTAATTTGGTTGTAATCTTGCAATGGCACTTTTGAGCAATGAATGTAATTATTAGGTATGCTATTAATAACCTTATGCTCATATTAGTAATTATATTCAAAAAGAAAAGTACAAATTAATATATTTCGACTTGCGCCTTCATCAGAATATTCATCTGATATTCTGATGAAGGCGCAAGTCGAAATATATTAATTTGTACTTTTCTTTTTGAATATAATTACTAATATGAGCATAAGGTTATTAATAGCATACCTAATAGTATTAATTTGGTTCAAAACAATGATGTAGATAAGTTACTTATTTAAATCTAAATATTCTATGACGAGAGCGATGGACATTTTTGGTATGCAGTGTTATCCATTGAAAACAGGTCAAAGCTATTGAGCTTTTAATTTAGTGGTCGCCGCTTACTAATCATGCGGCATACACGCCGCACATAACCGCCAATGCCGCAACGCAGCTTAGATTTCGAAGTAAGCATTTAGTCTCACCCCTTGCTGCGTGCTTGTGTTAAAGCTTATGACGTCACAGGCTTAATGAATGCAAAATGTGCTGCTACCTGGTGTATGTATATGATAACGTGTTTCTTATTTCTGTCCATAGATGTCACTAGCTTCATGCGCCTGGATGTGTATACTGTGCCGCACGACACAAGAACTTCAATCGCGCAAAAGAGAATATCCCGTGACGATCGCAACAGAATGTGGGCATGTCGGCTGTCGCAACGCAAATCTCGTAAGGCTATGAATTTTGAAGTCGGGCTCACGAAAAAAGAGAAAAAAAAGTACCAAGACAGCAGAAGAGGATATTGCGCACAGCAATTGCCCCATGCATTTTAAAGGTGAGGACGTGCTCGTAAAAGATTCAAAAGAATGAGCGAAGCCAGTAGCCACTGAGATATTTGATCACGGTCTGAGCGGTGAGTCGAGCGCATTCTTTGATACGGGAGTTGGTGGAAGTGTCGCTTGTAAATAATATTATCAGCCGATGGTCGCACATCGTCAAGTCGGTGCTTTCATACTTTTCTACACCTAATAAGTACTGGTAATCGTGATAAGATAATAGGGTAGGTATGCCTTCCTACTAGTATACATTATCTATACATAATCTTTTTCAGCGCGCATCGCATCAGTAAAATATTCATATTTTCCCTTGACAAAACCATTACCTACCCCTGATTGGAGTCCTGCCTCGCTCGACACCTCACAAGCCTGTGAGACGTCCTGTGTCACTTGGCCAAGATCAGCCGGCCAGAATTCAATGAATACAGACGGCCGCTTTCCGCCTGCTGTGTGAGGGAAGTGAGTCGATGCGGTCGTTGAGTGTGATGAGTTTGGGCCCGTCGGGACGGTACGAATAGGGAATTAGCAGTGAAGTTAGCGTGGTCGCAGCCGAGGTATTTATTGGTCTTCTTTTCGCGATGACAAGTCAGGCATAATTCCACACTCAGCGAATACTGACAGCCGCGGAATAGTGACAGGCCGCGCGCCGCCACAGAGGGCCGATAACATCACCCCGATCTGCGGGCGCCCCTGCGTGGCGTCACACCTGAATGATGTCACACGACCTGCGCGTCTCACCTGATAGGGTCGCCTGTCGGGGAGCGCGCCGCCACACTCGCAGCTCCTCATCGGTACCGATGTAGAGCCAGCGGGCGGCCGGAAAGTGGCCCTTGTACAGGCCGGATTCCTCGTCGGGAAGGTCTCGTGCCGAGATGGTACATTGGGTGGCCGCGTCCGTCGGACGGGAGAGCGAGTCCTGGCTGGCCCGCGGACTGGCGGGCAGCGCAGGCACGGCCACAGGTCAGTCACAGGCGCAGTACAGTCAGAGGCACAGTCACATCCGAGTCACACTGTACCGGCAGTCAAAGACAGTGTCAGTTACACGTCACAGCCACAAGTCAAGAGGAGCCAGGATCAGTCACTGTCATAGGCTAGCCAAAGTTCGCATTTGGTGTCAGCCACGGTCACAGCCGTCAGTAAAGGGAAACTCACAGTCGCTATGGTCTGACCGAGATGTTATGGGATGAAAGACAGTCAACGTTGGTACTTCAAGAGTCGTGCGTAATGTGCATGTAGTCACAGATAAACTGAGTCATGGACAATGGAGTCATGGATACTCAGCAGCATTAGAGCTACGCAATAAACCTAAATAATTTATGAAGTAGTTATGATGTAAACAATTAATGAAACACAAATAATAATTTGAAACGTTATCAAAGGAATGATATGTTGCCGGGGTACGCTGGCAATTTTGTGTGGAAGATAACGGACGGCCAGTTCCAAGAACCCTTGACCCGGTTGGTATCACAATTCAATCTAGCGGAGGGATCGTTCTGGGACAGTGTGGTCCAGCCTGACGACTGAGCCGCGACACAGACAATTGGTTCAATCTCCTGGGCCTCACCTATCCTGGAAACCGAAACCCCCAAAAACCAATGCATAAGGGCAGCATCTGGCCATGAAAAATTGAAACGACCGGCTTTACGCTCAACATTTCGAGTTACAGCAGCGTGTTATCGATCCAGAGGGTCACTCCCACGTAAGTAATTTAATCAGGCGAATGGTTGGTAGTCCCGGTAAGTACTCGGCCGCTCACCTGGGCTGCAGCTGCCTCCAGTCGTCCCCACAGCGCTCCTCCGAGCGGGCCCTGCAGCTGTCGGCGGTCGGCCTCGGCGGCGGCTCCAGTACCCGCTCCTCCGAGGCGCCGCGGTCCGGCCGGCCCGAGCGGCGCCGCCGGCTCGAGCCGCGCGGCTGCTGCCTCACAGAGGTGGACGCGTCTACGGCCGACAGCTTAGATAGCGGCTGGGAGGGCTGTTTGCCTCCAGCGGCCGGCTCCTGGGGCGCAGTGCCGCCGGCAGCCCCTGATGCTGCCACCTCAGTCGCAGGCAATGGCGACACTTCAGTCGCGGTCTCTGTCCGGTTGTTAGCCGGAGGCTGCTCCGATGTGGACGCCTGACGGCGCTTCTCGCGTTTCCTATGTTTGGCACTGTGCTCTGCGGTTGAGCTTTCCGCCAGGCCGTCCTGGACAGGTGCAGTGGCCTGTTTCTGATCCGCCGTCACGGCCAGCGGTTCCGTACCCACCGCTTCACTTGGTCTAACCACAGCACCATTCACCTCCGTTGCCTGTCCCGCCTGTTTGATCTCACTGGTTCTGACACTGGCGTCTTTCCGGGTCCCTGACCCCGCCTCCGCCGCCGGCCGTTCTGTCTGGGCGTCCTGCTCACCTGACGGGGCCGGCCGACCGTCACCACCGGAGGCGCTCCGCGACCGGTCCGCCTCTGGCGTCCGCAGCCGCTCGCCGCAGCTGGCGCACTGGGCACGCTCGGACGGACAGCGCGAGACGGCGTCCAGCCGCGCGGTGCGCAGCGCTCCGGTCCTCTCGGGCGAGCAGTCGGCCGCGAACACGCTGTCACTGCCAGGACTGACCGCACGGCCGACCGAGCGTACCGACTCGGCCGCCAGCCCGCCGCCGGCCTCCGGCCGCAGGTCGGTACTGGAGCTGGCCGGTGGCCGGGCCGACACCGTCGTCTCCGGAGCGGCCGGAGCCGGCGCGCACGGCTCCGAGGCCGTGGAGCGCCGCTTCGGTGAGCGGTGCTTGGTGTGACGCCGGCTGCTGGTGCGCTCCCGACTCCGGCTGCCCGAGTCCTCCCGAGATCCGTTCACGGTGCGCTCTTTGGAGCGCTTTTTGTGCTTCTTCTCACGTTTACGAGGCGTTTCGGTGGCACCGTTCTGCTCTGCGGCCGCCTCCACACCTGGTCGGGGCTTGTCGGGAGTCTGTGGGGTGCGCACTATGCTCCAGTCGGCCGCGCGGAAGCCGTCGTGCATGGCCGGACTGCGCACCATTCCACTGGTGACCCCCACGCCGCGCTTGGTCCAGCGCTCATCCGTCTTACTGCGCTCGGCGCGGGAGCTGACGTCATCGGCGGCACTCTCCCCGGTCTCCTCCTGGAGGTCGGAGGGCGCGTCCCTCCTGCTCCCGGCCGTGGAGTCCTCTCCCCTCCGCCGAGAGCGGCCACCGGAGCTCAGCTGAAGACTCAGCGCGCGGCCCGCACGCTCCGGCTCGTCCACACTGAACTGCTTGGAGAGCTGACGGCGCGTCAAGCTATTAGCCCGATGCTCACTACCTCCGGCACGCTTGTCGGGGGAGGACGAGGCGAGCGATCCGGGAGTGTCGACCTCGACCAGCTGGCCGGCGGCGTCCTCCTCAAAGTAGCGCGAGTACCGTTTTACGGACGGCTGTCTGCGGGTCGAGTCCGACACTCCGCTGCCGTCGGAGGCCTCGCCTCGGCGCCAGCTGGCCTCCGAGCCGACAATCGACGACGCCGAGGAGAGCGACTCGACCCGCGACGGCGGTCGGATGCCGTCGGCGGCGGCGTCACCCGTCACAGTGCCGCCGCTCTGAGAGGCTGACGGCCGCCGCTGACTGCTCTCGGCCGATGAGGAGCCACTGGGCGCCGCCGACCGGCCCAGCGGCGACCTTTTCGATCGCTTCTCGGCCGTGATCGTCACATCACTCTCGAAACCGTCATTGAGCGTACGCATAAACTTATCCAACTTTCTATCTTCGTCACCCTCACTGACAGAAGAGACCTGACTAGGAGCTGGACTGGCGTCTTTCCAGCCTTCCAGCGGGGGCGGCGGCGGGGGCGGCGGCGGCGGGCTGAGTCGGCTCAGCTCCTCGGGCGAGGCCAGACGGTGGTCCAGCTCCGTACTGATGGCGTCCAGCTGTTTGAGCACCAGCGCTTCCTCGCGCGCCAGGGAGGGCACAGAGCCAGAGGCCGAAGAGCGCGCGCCGTTGTCGGTGCCTCCCGTGCCGCCGCCCGCCGGCGAGTCGCAGTCGGAGCCCGACTCCGGCTCGGGCGGGGGCGGGGGCGGGGGAGGGGGCGGTACCAGCGCGGCCGGCGTGCTCGCCTCAGAGTCCGAGGGCAGCGGCAGCGGAGTATCACCGGCCACGTGCAGCACCGTCTCCTGCGACTCACTGAGGCTGTCGCGGGTCAGGGTTAGAGTAGAGCGCGGCGGTGAGCCGGGTTCGTGACCCACCTCGCCCGCCTCGCTGTCGCTTGACATGGGCTCCGCCTGCGGTACTGCCTCGCACAGCAGGTTTTCAATGAGATTCTCGTGAAACTCATCGTCATCATAGTCTCGTGGCGGCGGGGGCGGCGGCAGCTCGGCGGCGGAGCGCTGCATCTGCTCGTGCGCCCACAGCCGACCGCCACTCGGCTCCAGCAGATCAGACTCGGACACGGTCAGTTTGTCAATGACCGACTGGCGAGGGGCGCCCCCGCGCGCGAGATCAACATCGGCCGCCGCCGTCCGCTCTTTACCTCGCCGCTCCGACAGCATCTCACCCTCGGAGAGCGTCTTCTGCAGCGGGAACGGCCGCTCGCACGGCTTGTAGTCGATGATGATCTCCTGAGTGGTCGGCGAGCGGTCCTGGGCCGGCGGCGACGGCGGCGGTGGCAGCGAGAGCGGCAGCGGCGGCGGCGGACTCCGCGGCGAGTCGGGGGTCGTGATCGGCGAGGAGACGGCTCGGCTCAGCTCGGCCGGCGGCGGGCTGCGGCGCCGCAGCGCCGGCCCCGGCCGCTCGCCCACCTCCGAGTGGCTCTTGGTCAGCGGCCGGTGCGAGCGGGCCCGCGGCGGCGGCGGCGCCTCCTGCGAGCGCAGTCTCTGCCGAACACAACACAGCAGCGTCAGCACGCGTGGGGAAGACGACACAGACGTAACACTAGGCTGTTTTACATAACAGCGTGTCTAGTCTCGATCATGGCTGACCTATCAAGGTCAGGAAAACAACGATCGATGGGAAAGGATCAGTCGACTAGACCAGATACCGAGATGTGGTACATTTGGCTTACTTATTGCAGCGCCACAGCATAAACAAGCATTTGTTTGTCGTGGAATCTCATCGTCTTTTTTACTGCAAACGTAACTTCTTGTCCAGCCCACCCAGAGAAACATCTGTATCTTCCTCGGGTCTGTCCCTAGCTGGGATAGTACATATCGGCACATCACACCGGTGCTCAGCCGGCTGTCCGAGCCGATTCCTATCGATCTCATGTTTTAGTAGGCCGGGCCCGATCCTTTAGCGAGCTCCGAACGTGATGTGGCCGGACTACGAGCCTATCAACTCATCCTCTCGTCCACCTAGACGGACAGCTCATCTGAGAGCCAGTGGTTTATCAGTTTGCTGAGTGTCTAAAAATATGTGATCTAGCCCTGGGAAAGTATCCCTCTGCGAACGTGTCATGTGTGATAGATAAAAGATAAGTCGATGTTGATATTCAGTTGAGATCTTCAGTTATTGATTTGGGTCAGGGTGCCACGCCAACAGCTTGTGTAAGAGTACCTACATGTTATTTTACCTTGCTGTCTGTCCTCAGACCTTACCTTACCTTGTGCACGGTTCTCGGCGACAGCGAGAGATAGGAGGGCGGCGCGGGCTCGGCCGTGGAGTTCAGATCTGTCTGTGTCGACTGGGTTCGCATGGAGGACCGCTTCATCTTCTCTGTGAAATTTCAGAGAGGCAAAGAGCGTGAGTATCAATAACAGTGCCGACCTCACAAGTCACAATTGACCCGACTAATGAAAACCGTTATTCTTAAATCCGCAGACTTACTCCAATGACTTACCTACCTCCAACGAAACAAAGAATTGACACAAAAATAAAATTACAACGCTCTGCATGTAGGTATTTTGTCTAAAGTTAGACAATATATATCACCGCTCTCTTCCATCGGCATCTGTTTTGTAACATTCCTCCATAACGCGCTAGCTCTCGGAATGAAATAGGTATTAGAACTTTCCATCGCTTTTGACGTCGGGCGGCGACTTGCTCGGTGGCGGGTGGAGTCTATACAGAAATAGCTCGGCAGCCATATCTGATTGGCAGTTCAACGTAAAGAGCCACTCCACGTCAATCGAGCGGCTTGTTAGCTGGGAGAAAGTGGTCAATTGAGAAACAGTTCGCACGCAATTGTCCACACCGTTGCCCTTTATTCTTTTCGATAAATACTTAATCTTCTAAATCTAATCAATACTTGAACTTCCTTCGCTCTAGTGTAACCCTTGCGGAATTTTAACGACTTTGAACCAGCAAAGCTTGTTTGCTTCCGGCGAGAAGTTTAGTTTCATAGACTTAGCCTTGATAGATTTCAAGACCAAAACTGTCTGACTGAAGTTATCCTGACGGCTTAGGGTATAAAACACGACGGTGTATAGGGCATCCCAAGCACACTACCTATTGCGAATTCCTAAAATAAAAAACAACTCCACAAAAAAATGTGTGAACCTACTATTGGCTCAATTTCCTTCATCGCGATATTCCAATCCTTGAAAAAAAAATCAGCATAGTGCAAATATCGTGCCGACAGCGATTATGCATGCACTGAACAGTAGACACTGGACAGTGCAGGCCATCGCCAAATGGGCAGCGGGCCTTACAGCCTGAGCGGTAGGCTGTACCGCAATACTCCTGTGTTTGACGGGCTAGTCGCCCTATACAGGCACTGGCTGAGACGAGCGAACTGAAACGACGGCCGGCTGAGGATCAGATGCATTGTTTTTGTAAACACGTATTTTCGTTTCAGCAGGAACCTTTTTGAGGAAAACTTTTCAAACCTGAGCAGAGTTTCCTTCAGCTTATCTACACCGGCTCAGTGAGCTCAGATTCTCGCACAGGCTCCTAAGAACAAACCCGAAACTCAATCTCGGCCGAACCAAAGGCTGGACTGTGCCGAACCCCGCCAATGCTCGGCACGGCGCCACTCCAGCCACGGCCAGCTGCGACTCACACTTCGACTGCACCACTGCTGGACAGCTGATGCACCACTGCTTTGGCCAAGTCAGAGGAACCGGGCGAATTCCTTCCATTGTTTTGCTTTCCATTCTCTTCAACTATCGAGTTCGAACTCTAGGATAAATATTTACTTCATGTGGATGCTTCTTAGGTGTAATTTTTATCCGCTGGGACTGAGAGCGTGAGATGATGTTTTTCGTACTCCAGCGTAGATGGGGACTCGAACCCCGGGCCTTTTTATCCAAAGGCCCGGGGTTCGAGTCCCCGTACAGCCCAAAATCTTTAACGAGTTTGCAAAAGATGACGGATGTCATCACTGTCAACCGTGGAAGCCGTATGGCTACCCATCTACGCTGGAGTACGAAAAACATCATTTCATGTGGATGCCTTCGAATGATAACAGTTGGAAAGTGCGAATGAAGTTTCTTGTGCCAACTTTGCGCCGTCAGGAGAACCATAAGAATTAAAACAAAATCACTACCGCAGATGAAGAGCGGGAGGGGGGGGCATTATTCAGTGAAAGGTATTCTGGATTATTCCTTTCAAAGCAAGGTGAAACATTTGTGTTCCATGCAATAATTGCCGTCATTTCAAATTGGAAATAACCGATTTTTGAATTTGACATATATTCAGTTTTAGATTACGATTCAAATCAAAGAGGATGCCAAATAAGTCTTCTTTGGCATCGGATTGTTTATCTTTGACTGCGGCGTCAGAAAAACCTACGCATGCAACTTGAAGCCTAATCAGTTATTAATCGTTACAGTTATGTAGAAGAGCAGAGGGAGCTAAAATCAATTTTGGCCAATCTCATCCATCAACTTCCTGTGGGTTTTCTGTTTTTACGCGATGTTTGTCCCAGACTGCCATCTCCCTGCCGCTGCTGCCAATCACCCGGACTTCACGAATTCAGTCGATAGTGGATGGTCTCTCTAACTGATGAAGGATACAGCTTATTCTCTTTTGTTGCGCTATTGGAATTTGGACTGGAGAAAGAGAGAATGTAAAATACCACGGACGAAAAACAGAGCACCATGGGGAGACACTACAGCGGCCGACATCGCGAGGGAGTGGAACGAACAAGGACAGGAGCAGGGATTAGGGATGTGCTTCCAGGCAAGTTATCTTCCAGCCAATTAGTCTGAAAGACAGGGCTTCGTTTTTTGCGTTCTGTTATGACTGATATGTTAATAATCTTTTTTTGCTTCTTGGTTTCCGTAATTGCACCACATGACACATGCATTGTGAAATTGCATGATAAAAATTAAGCATAGGCTACTGTTACGCGCTTGCGAACGAAGCAGAAAAGGATTTCCAGATGTCAAAGATTTATTATAATGACCCATCAAATACCAAATGACTCCTTGAATATCAAATGACTTTTAAGCGCTTCCATTAGCACTTCAGCGCTTTCTGCGTGATTCGAATAGACATGTGACGTTTCGCTGAACTGATCAAATTAAAACAGTGCTAAGTGTTTCCCGAATAAGGGCGATTTGAAGCAAACAAAGGAGAGACTGTGTTTTGATTAAATCCACTCAACCTTCCAAATGAGTAGAGCTCAGCTGATTGATCGTATACGAATCGGGGACAGCTTTCTCTGGCAGCCTGAGGATGCATTAGTGTGAGGACGGCCTACAAGTGGCAATCGCTTTGCGGCGGCCCGACTCAAATGGCACCTATCCACTACACCTCTCTCAGCACCAGTTGCAAGATTCGGTAGGGTTATAGAATAGTGATCTTAATGTTTTGTTGTATCAATTTCACCATGGTATTCTACCCAATTGCAAGGTCAGAAAGCCACGCTATTGGTCTGTCCATAAGGTTCTCGCTCACAAGCATAACGACTAACGAGGCCATTTGCACTGTGTCCGCCGTGACCGAAATCAGGCACAACAACCCGCCGAATAAGAAACAAAAAAAAAATCACGATAAAAACGCATCGTTAAATGTTAACTAGAAATGCAAGGAATCGTTCATCCAATAAGCGGAGAAACAATCTAGTGCTTATGCTCCAGCATCTCTAAATGTAGTTATGTAAAAGTTAAGGAAATACGAGTAAACCTAGCCCGATGTATTTGATAATTTATTGCCGAAACTTGACAGAATGTCATTCTGTTCTGTTCCTGAAAGTTGTATCGAGTTAACTGTCTTTCGATATCTGACCCCGGCATTAGTTTTTGGCGCCGCAGACAGTCGTCAGATGAGACCGTGAGAGCGCAGGCAGCCGCTGGACCAGTCAGTTCTGCACGGCTCAGCCTCCGCGGCAGTCGTGCAGGCCTTCCCCGGGACAAGGAGTGGCCGAGGTCCGGCGTAGCACGTCTCCCCTATTACCGGAGACGGGAGCCAATTGGCCGCCTCCGAGACTGGCCGATCTATCGCCGGCGACGTGCACACTTACCCTGCAGCAGCGCCTTGGTCAGGAAGGGCCCGAACAGATTGCAACTCTCCTCCATGTAATCGGGTGTTCGCCGCCCGTCCAGCAGCCGCTCCTGGAACCAGGGGAACACAGACTGGGGTGATAGAGCCAATATGCGGCAGTGCAGACGGACAATTGAAGCAGAAACTCGGCCGGTTCACGATGGCATGTGTCGGAATATAAAATATGTAGGCCTATCGTAACGTGAAAATAGTTGGACGAAATAACATCACAGATTACAGGGACGTCTGTAGTGTTATGACATTTGAAAGGATTACTAACTATAATAGTTACCTTGCGACAGTGTAGTTAATTTGTGATCCTAGCTCCAAAACGTCGCAAGATATTTATAGCAGAGGAATGTACATGCATGTACATGCAAGTATTATTTCCATGCATGCGCATATAGCTAGTTCTTTGCGAACAGTTTCACTGGAGTACATAATACATATTTGAAACATCCTGGAAAAAGGTGGAACACGGTGCAGTTCTTGTATTCTCAGCTATGTGTGTTACTATTTTGATCTCTTCAAACGCTGCAAAAATAGCCAAGGTATTTATAGCATGAGAACGTCTGATGCTTCCCAGCGCGAACTTGCGCTACCGCATTAAATTCCGCGTGTGAAAGCGCACCTGTTCGAGAAAACGTGATTTAAAATAATACGCTAACTGCAAAGTGAAAATAGTTTCAGAAGCATGTGAAACATTCAAAATACCATCGCCAAAGTCAATGCATGGAAGTCGGAGCACGAGCTTGGGATGGTTTTGAAGCGCAACATCTAACATCCTATTGATCTAAGGCGCCATTCGTGGTAGTATGATTATTGCTTATGTGTGTGATAATTGGCTCATATCTTTGAAAGCCGCTAAAGCCCTTGCCCTACGGCTGGGAAGGACGAGTAGGGCCATCTGCAGCCAGCTCGCCACTCGCCCCTGCTCTGTTCTCCGTAGACCTGCAGGGTCAATTCCCGGTCTCAGCTGCGCCCTGGTGCCGGCGGTGCGGCAATGCAGGCCCGGCGCGCGGCTGCCTGTCGTCAGGGCTGATGGGATGGGCCCGGGCCCGTCAGCCGGCCGCTGACCGGTGACCTTTCACCGCCCCAGGACACGCTGATGGCCTCCGCCGGCCGCGACACTGTCCGCCGCTGTCCGTGTCAGACGCTGGGCGTCACCGGTGATGCAGCGGCGGACGGAGGACTCGGGTCGGGTGGAGGATCGGAACAGAGCGCGCTGCACCAGCAGGACTTCAAACACAATAAATGACTCTGGGTTTTAACTCCGAAGTCATTAAACCCCAGCTACATGGAAGTCAATTAATGACCATCTGATTTTGTAGGACTGACGCAAATCATTTCGATGTCGCTAAGGCCATATAATCCACCTGCTATTTCGTTAAGCTTGCTCCGCATCTGTGTCCGGCTTCCATGCCCGCGCGTCAGTGCCTGAGCCGTGTGTCCGCGTCCATGTCCATTATCTGGTATCGGGCTGCGGTGACATGTGTCCGCGCCCCTGCGACAGGTGTAATGGAGCCTGGTGCCAAGACAGATGACATGTCCGATGTCCCCGGCTCTCAGAAGCAGTCAGGGCCGGACCGGAGCTCGGTCATTTCCCGCATAGTACCGGACCAGGCGCGACTACACGGGGCTGATTGGATTGGGGCATTAGGGTTGGAAGATAACGCAAGAGTTAGGAAGACGGAGAGAGAGAGAGTGAGAGAGAGAGAGAGAGAGGGAGAGAGAGAGAGGAAAAAAGGGATAGAGGTTACCAAAGGCATTCAATTAAGTATTTTATCTCATGCTGTTTTTCGTAGAACTCCCCAAATGATCAAGATATTCATCTGCTTGAACGCAGTGCGAGTTAAGTGCGCGGGTTCCTCCACAACTCCTATGCGACTATGCAGTAGGCATAATATAATTTGGTAAAGTAGTAATGTAATGCTAAGCGATGCATTGAACTATGCATGAAAGTGGACCTTGTCAGCTGTGCATATTTCGATAACAAGATGGCTGTGTAGTGTAATGCCTTCAGACACTGAAGCTGAGTCGGCATGTTCGCCCGCCTCTGGGTCTCACCTGGCTCCTGTTGAGAGTCCGTCCCGGAAGCGAGACCTGGGACGGATGGCCTCCATTCACCGTGTCGTCTATACTCGACATTGTCTGGGACCTGAGAACCAACAGAAAAACACTCTTAGTCTAAAGGCTGAAACAGACTCCGCGTTCAGGAAATCGCATGCGAGAGCCTATTCAAATACATTATAATTCTTCCCGCATCCGAATCGCATCCGGGAGGTGCGTGCGATTGATGCGAGCGTGCTTCCATGTATTTGAATAGGTTCTCGCATGCGATTTCCTGACTGCGGAAAGTCTGTTTCAGGCATAATACCGGCAGACAAAAATATCATCCTAGCACGCAGTTAGCTTCCCAGCGCGAACCGCACATTATCAAATATGCAAACCAAGAGAATCACACTCGAGGAGGACCGGAGGCTGCACTTAATGGCAGCACAGACATACGCTATTGATTATATTGACGCTAATTGACAATATATAAGTATCGCTAAGGAAGAAGAAGTAAACGCATTTACTGACTAACAAACTCTGTGAATACCACGCCAAATACGGTCCAAATATGAGACTCATCTACGCCAACCTCATATTAAAACCATGAATATCAAATGAAGCTTTCCGCAAACGATAGCCGTTTAAGTGGCGGCGGCAGCGCTGCTAACATTTCCCATAAAAGTGCGCCGAGCACCGAGAGGACTCCCCCGGGGGGCGGCGGCCATGTTCCGTTATTACCTGCACCGCGGCCGCTCCAGGGCCCGCCGGCTGACTGCTCCCGGCGCGCCAACAACATATGACATTTATTGAGCAGTGCCTGGCAGCACACGTCCGCCGCGTACCAATAGGTCCCCTCAGCGCCCGTGGCACAGTCAGCAACAGCCTCTGCCGCCGCCGGCGGACGAATAGAGCACTATTGCCGCGCAGTGAGGTCCTCTGCGACGTCATGAAGACGTTTGAGGCGGCGCCATCCCTCAGTATCGATGTCTGAGAAATGTACTGACGATGATTCTCAGTAACGCCTCGTAGTGAGCAAAGCGAGGAAAAGCTGTGACGGTGATAGTGATATGATAAAAAAGACAGAGAAGATTAGCCTCGCTGGCATCTAAGGCATGCCGGCGCCAGCGCGCATTTCTGAAAACCGCCTGTGGCGGTTTGATCTCGTGATACTTCTATCGGTTGCATCATTTGGCCGCTGTTTTTGATGCACGCGTATGTTTCGATACCAACGGCTCCACTCCCGGTACTGTAAAGATCGTGCGCATCTCAACACCGATACCACACGATATGGGAACAACACCGCAGCCGATGCCAACCAACAACACCGCATATATCGATACCGACGCTATGCGGCGCCCGATACCCACAACACGGTGGGCCACTCGCGGCGCGCTGCCTCCGATACCGCCGACACCGTTCCCCACTCCCCTCCGGCCATTAGCGGAACACGGCTGGCCTGACGTCACCAGGCCACCGGCGCGCGGCCTGATGACGCGGCTGTCTCCTCCTCTGCGGGTCTCCCGCTCCGGCCGGCGGCTGGTCTATCTCTGGGTCGGCAGCTGCGCTCAGTGGTGGACCACGCAGCTGCTTATCTCTCATGGCCATTATTTACTGCTGTTCCATTAGTCTTGACTTTAAATTGATCTTGAGCATTATAAAGATCGTAATAAAAAGTATGTGGCCAAAGATAATATACCACATCGTTTTACCAGCATCAGACATCGATTTTTAGCAGTTTTTACTGTTCATTACCATTTACCTAAATCACTTTTACCATACATATTTAAGTCATCTTCGTATCGAACAGCGCGTGTATCGTTTGTTAAGCAACGATCCCATCGTCGTTCCGGCGCCGTTTGATCTCTGGGCCGCTTCTGAGTACTGACCTGAAGATGTGCTGTTCAAAGCTGACGTGCTTTTGATGCCGATCATCCAGACCCTGGTCGTGGCTGGCGTGTCTCCACCGGGCAGAGCTCAGGTCGGGGCTGCTCGGCTGGGTGAGAACCAGCCGGTCTGCAAACAAACAGCGGTCGGGTCACGCACGGATTCACCCACACTAAGCCAGAGGTTTCACAATGTGTAATACCAAATATTGAGCGAATAAGCTCAGTGCTCTCATGCCGTCTTCGGTTAAAGGTTAATATTTATTCGTACTTACAAGAGAAACAATGCAAGTGAAAACAGCAGCCCGGTGGACGACCCTGAGCCCGGGACCGTCCGCCGATCAGGGACGCTCACAGGTCAGGGACAGGCCGCAGGTCAGGGACGCAGCCCACCACAGTTCTGCGCAGCGCCGCTACCCGGTGCGCCGCGGAGAGTAGCCCGAACTCCGGCGGCCTACAAAAGCCATCAAAGAACAGGCAGAGTTGTTTGCCTTCGCTGAAGTCTTTGTCTATCGCAGGGCCTGGTGACTTCGTTCATTGTTTATAGGAGCCATTTTAGGAAACCTTTGGGCGCGTGTGTAGTGCATGGCTCAACAACTTCAGAACAGCTTAGTAGAATTACAGGACTCGGACGCCTTTCTGAAGTTGCAACTTGTTATCCGCTTACACTAATGCTAATGGCTCAGACTGTCAACTAATACTGTGAGGCAAATGAGTCCCGCGATGAGGGCTAAAGCTTCACCAGCTATAACCAACGGAAAGAGATGGAATCTGCACTCAAATTTTCTTCAGTCTGCATTTCTCCATCACCTGCATAAAAAATGACAGAAATAAGTCCACATTTAGCAAAGATATCAACGAATGGTGCCCGTGGAAATAGCGCGACTTGCATCTCACGGCCAGTGCGCAGTGCGAATAGCATCACACAGCACCGGTCGACCTGCAGCACCCAAATGGTCACCCTCGGCCAGCTCAGAACGGCCCAGAGCCCCAATAACTAGCGCTGGCCAGCCAAGAAGCAAGAGCACCCCATGACAGCCAGCATCAGCCAGCCCAGAGCCCCCAAAGGTCAGTGTAGAGCGCGGCCCGGCCTCTGGTGCCTCCCCTTCCGTCATCATCATCATCATGTATTCATATGTTCATCCACATTCATGGCTTTTCAGAACAAGAGTCAAATAGTACATACACACAATACAGGTTAAGATGTAAACATGCGATAAAAAGACATAGATACACTAAAAGATTGGTAAAATCCGATGTCCGGTGTCCTACTCGGCTATCCGCTATGGCGAGGACATGGCGAGCCATTTCCTCGCCCTTCTGCGACACGCCGTCGCAGAGCGCGCCTCTCTCACTTCAGCCGGCGCCCGGTTCCACAGAGCGGGCGAACGATAAAAGAAGGACCTTCGTGTATGCTCACTGCGCGGCCTGGGAATCTGCAGAAGACCAGCCAGAGAGGCTCTGGTGTCCCTAGTGGCTACATCACTGCGGTGTACAATGCACGCGGTCAGGCTGCCGGGCGCCTGTTCGTTATTTAGCAAATAGTGCATCTGGGAAACGTCGCGCTCGGCTACAAGGTTGTCAAGTGACGTCCATTTTAGCTCAGCCAATAACGGCGTTACATGGTCTCGCCGTTTTGCCCCCTTCACCACCTGTGCACAATGGTTCAACACTTTTTGTAAGCGATGCCGTTGGGTAGCATTGCAGCCGGCCCACACAGAAGAGCAATAACTGAGATGCGGAAAAATAAGTGATTCAACAATCATTTTCTTCACAGGTTCTGGCAATTTGCCAGCCATTTTTGATAGTCCACCAAGAGTGGCATAACACCGTCTAACTATACTAGAAACATGCTTCTCAAACGTTAATCCTCCGTCAACATCCATCCCCAACACTTTCACCGCCGGGGAAGGTCTAATCGAAACATCGCCGAATTGCACAGAAAACTCGGAGGATGACTGCCGCTTAGTTGACTTAATTAGTACGAGGTCGGTTTTGTTAGGGTTAATTTTTAAACTGTTTTCACTAAACCAGCTGTGCACGGTGGCTACGGTGCGTTCGACGCTCACTTTGAGTCCCGACAGGCGTCCAGAGCCGGACACTTTGAGTCCGGCTCTGGACGCCGCTGCCGGTCGATGGTATTGGCCGGGATAACTCACTCGGGTGCCGATACGGGGTGCCGATAATCGACAGTTCCTGTCGCCGCGGCAACGATATCGGAGAAGGCTGAACCCATAAGAGGAGTCGAGAAACGATATCTACGAAAACGGGTGCGAACAGGCTGGGGACTCATTTGGACTGCAGAGATGAAGTGAGATGGAAAGGCGAATTAACTAGGGGCAATGTCGATTATAATGTTACGCGATTAAAAAACAAAACATTTAACTCATCAACCTCAAATATAAATTTGTTTCATCTCAAAGACCGTACGTGTCTCTTTTGCTATCGTAAATTTGCTATTCCCGTCTAATTTTCTGGGAATATACAAGCACCTCTGAGTTCTGACCTGTCCGAGCTAATTTAATGGATTCACTTCAAATGACTGTTAATGGCCCTAGAGATTGTTAGTTTATTACGTCAATTAACAGAGCTATTCAGCGCTCTCAGCAACAGCTCAATACATCTTCTATAAGAAAGTACCATGTGGAGTAGAGAGGCAGCACTAAACGATCCTGTAACTCGAAGCTGAATGCCTGCCTCACACCCTGAGCTAATTACATCGTTCCACAAAAATGGAATGCTTCTGTATAGTGTGTGTCTTGTACTGTCCCACAGGTAGAAACGATCCCCTTCACGTGGGTAGCGACGGTTGCTGAGGGCCATTACAGTCGAGAGCAGCGAGAGGCGACGTCAACATCACAGCTTCGTCAGGTAGGATGACCGCACGACCAAAGACGGAGAAACACCAAGCGCTAGAAAAACAGTGACGCTAAAAAAAACGGGCTCCGGCTACTGTCGCACGCCCGAAATGATTTCAAATGTGCACGCTCAAGCTGAATACTAAATCACCAATCTCGCATACTCCTCACACGCAAGCTGGCTCAACAGTCAACAACCCCAGGGAATCAAACTGCACGGACTGCCGAGTAGATGAATACTGATAAATAGCCGTTCTCGCCGTCACTCGGGGAGGGGCGTCGACCGTCTGTGTGTCCCTTCACCCACCCCTCTCCAAACTGACCCTCTGCGCTGCCGTTTCGCCTGCGTCCGTCGGCGTGTCGTGGCACTCCCGGACCGGTGAGCATGCCGTCTCGGGCGGCCAGGGGCCCGCCGGCGGCGGATGGAGGCCAGCCGGACTCGGGGGGCGAGTGGGGCCGCAGTCGCCCCTGGAATACACAAACACACGTCACAGGGATCACAGGCGGTAATACAGGGCCAAATGGATACAGAGCTACTCGCTTTTTATTAGACGTATAGCCACCTCCTATAGTTAGATAACCATTTGCTTCCCTTCAGATTAGTATTGTTATAGCTAAGCTAGCCAATATATAAAATATAAATATCACAAACCATGCAGATTACACACTTATTTTTGTTTTATACCAACACCATACCGATAATCATATCATTAAAAATAAACACGCATTGATGCCTCAACTAAATTTGGTAACCTGAATGGTATCTGTATTTAAACCGGCTCCGTTTCCGACGCTTTGGCCAGATCAGGCTCCTCCCTGACGACCGACTGATGATACCCATCTGTCGAGACCCGTCCAGCTCTGATCGCTTCCGTCAGCCCCCGCCCCCTCCACCAGCCCCTTCCCGTCTCACCCCAGCCGTTCCATCTTACGAGCATCGGCGGCTCGCTCTGAGGCCGCGACCGCCAGCTAAATGGCCTCGACATTGCGCCCGATGGGCGTCATGCGGTCAGGAAGTTACTCAAAGTCAGATGAACATCAGAAAGTCGTTGGCAAACTTTCGGCCGAACACTCTGAGGACGGTGTCTACGTAATAGATGGCCACATCTGCAGAGTCGGTCGCGTTTATGTGGGACGCGGCCGACAAATGACGATTGTGCTACAAAGTCGAGAACTGATCTCTCTATCTCCAAGTTAGACAATTGTGGCTAAGCAGCAGAAGGGATTCGCAGGGTGATCACTCACCCTCGCCACGTCTCCTTCCGTCCATGTGTAGCGCTTCGGGTCTGTGTAGCAGAACACCCTGCAGCAGAGGAGGGGGGACAGTCCGTCACAGTCGGTCAGATGGGGCGGTCAGGCAGGGGGAGGGGGACAGAAACAGGCTGCTAGCTCAGTGAGATGAGGGTCTGGGTTGGGACTGCTGACCCAGAGATGTGTAGCGGCTGCTGCAGCTCAGGAACCGGCCATTGTTGGTGGTTTCTGACAGAGGTTATTGGTCAGAAACGGATTTTTTTTTATAACTTTAGTCCGAACCATTTAAATGGAAGGGTTCACAAGGACCGAGTCCCCGCTAAGCGAAGCTTGTTGCATTGACCCTGCCCTCTACCCTAAGCGTTAGGGGAAACTAATATGTAGTCGGGGATATGCCGCAATCAAATCTTTGGAGCTGTAATCAATCCATTGGACAAAATAGGAATCTGCAGACAAGAACTAAAAAAAGCGCTGGATGTCAGGAATGAATCAAGTGCTGGAATTCACGGATGGTTGATATGGGGGATTAGGTACGACGGGTAGCAGCTTGGCCAAGTTTTCCAGCGTCGGGAGCCGGCGTAGTCTGATGGCTGGACAGAGGCCGTCGGGCGACTCAGCTGGCTGCGGCGGACTCTCATCAGTCTCTGCGCGGCTGACGCGGTGGGAGGGTGCAGCCGCGGGGTGTCCCCGTCCCCGGTCGTGCCAGCGGTGTCGGCTCGTCCATGTAGCGCGCCGCGCCGGCGGCTGCCAGCCCAGCGCCGGCACTGGGCGGCGTCGACCGACAGTCATCAGACGCTCTGTAATCCCGGACGGCCGGTGCCAACTGGGGCCGCCGCCGTCACCACCCCATTCAGTCGCGACCGGTCGGAACACCCGCACCCACTTCCAATCCAACACCGCACGGCTTCGTTCGATGGCTGGGCGGGAGTTTTATAAGGAGGTGGTTATTGGTTCAATTAACTTCCCTTGCATCGAGGTGTCTTCGACATAATACTGAGACGACCTTCAATTACCTTCAACATCACGAAAAATATCCCCGCTAAATATCTACATTCTACTGGAATCAAACAAACAGTGAAGAGATTCAGAATTATTCTAATGGAGACCGAAGGACGCTTTCGAAGTGAGAAGCCTTACCACCTTTTTCCAAGTCTTTAAAGGGATTCTTCGCTCATGACGTTGGTGTCTGGATCGTTACATAATTGACGTGCAACGCCCGCTTATTGGCAATATCGTTCGTTGCTATCCGGTCAGGGAAATAAATAATGATCCCAACCAATAAAGTAATAACAGAAACATCTCATCTCCATCTGCTGACCGTTATCACGCCACCAGCGCGCCCTAGCAGAGACAGGCGCCTCTCGACATGACCTTGACTCAGCAGCCTGATCCCTGCATCCCTGTATCGTTTACAGTGACACCCACACCAGCCAGGATCAATACCGTCTGCAGAGTGGCACCGGCCGATGCTCGGTGATGCCTCGGCGTCAAACTATGCCTGGCGGAGGACCGTGCGGCCGCGCCGCGGTCCCGCCCCAGTCCAAGCCACCCGTCCGCAGTCTGACGACCGGAGCAGTGTCGGCTGACGGCTCCGCGCCGCCCCGACACGGCCCTGATAGATGAGCCGTGTGAATCTTATGGCGTCACACTATGAGACTGGCCTGAATAGAGCCCGGCACCCAGCGCCCAAACAAGCGAGCTTGAATGCACCAGAAAGGGATGCGCTGAATGATTCAGTCAAAATTATGTTTACCGAATTTAGCCGTGAAGACCTGGGGTATATTTTCCAAGGAGTAGGTAATGCAATGCTTTTTTGTAAAAAAAAAAAAACACTGCTAAGCCTATATCTATGCATAGATCTATGATGTCGCACGGACCCCGGCCTTTTCACTACCGCATCATCCTCAACATCACTAATAATTGTCACGGAATCTTCACACAATGGTGCGGTGCGGCTTTGAGCACTGCCAGGCTGAAGAATCGTATGACGAGACGTGACGAGGCAAGACGTGGCAGAGCTGTAGCGGGACAAGTTGTGTGACGGGTTCGTCCGCTATCATTAGCACCTAGTCCGCTATCATCACAGCCTCGTACTAAATCCATCTAGGATTTCCAAATAGTTTAGCGCCAAAGTTGTTTCTGACTGCTCCGGCAACATCCTTCCGCTGGCTGCTCCACCATATCAACGCCAACGGGGAGCCGCTAATGGCGCAAAAATGCAGAGTGGGTCTAATGCATCGCAAATGCGCGATGGCGGAACGCTGTAACGTCATTAAGGCATCGCTGGCAGGCCAGCGATTGAAGATAAGCAGCTAACCACATGGCCATTGAGGGAAGCATCGATCTTCTCATTCCTTTTCACTTTCGTTACGCGGACCTCAAGCGCACAGGACACTCCAGTCCAGGATTTCAATCATGCCATCACCTTCAATTTGAAGGTTGTCGACTGGCGACTGCAGCCAATGTGTAAAACTCTGAGCAATCCGTCTAAATGTTGGCATGTGCCAGATGTCATTTGCGCACCAGGCTGTGAAGGAAGCCACTTCGGTGAGTGACAAGCTTACGAAGATGACACATCATTACCGAGTCTGGTAGCAGCTAGGGAATGACGCACCATAAGCGTCATAAATATGCGGCCTAACCCAAAAATGGCAACGCAATATCGTATATTTCTGGTAATGACCACTAACGGTATCGCAAGAACACGCATTTAGGATAATGATACCAGCAATCATATTTCACGGCGCAGAACTGATGGCTACCAGGGGACCACGGCCCACATTTATCCAACCAGCATGGTGGATGTTGGCTTATAGCCTATTCGTCTCTCTCTCTCTCTCTCTCTCTCTCTCTCTCTCTCTCTCTCTCTCTCTCTCTCTCTCTCTCTCTCTCTCTCTCTCTCTCTCTCTCTCTCTCTCTCTCTCTCTCTCTTTCTCTTTCTCTTTCTCTTTCTCTTTCTCTTTCTCTTTCTCTTTCTCTTTCTCTTTCTCTTTCTCTTTCTCTCTCTCCCTCTCTCCCTCTCTCCCTCTCTCCCTCCATCCCTCTCTCTCTTTCTCTCTCTTTCTCTCTCTCTCTCTTTCTCTTTCTCTTTCTCTTTCTCTTTCACTTTCTCCCTCTCCCTCTCCCTCTCCCTCTCCCTCTCCCTCTCCCTCTGCCTCTGCCTCTGCCTCTCCCTCTCCCTCTCCCTCTCTCCCTCTTCCACTTGCCTGGGCCGCCGTCGGAAGAAGTCGTCGTCGTAGTCTCGCTCGGAGCCCTGCCAGGTACGCTGCGGCCGCGGCAGGGGACGGGCCGAGTCCTCCGGGCAGTCGGACTTTCGTTTTCGTTTGTAGCAGGAGGTCAGCAGGTTCTGCTTCTTGCAGGGGCTCGGCTGGGGGGACGGCATATTAGTTTGGAATGAGGAAGAACTGCATACTGCTGTCAACTAAATGATGTAATGCGTGAGGCTAGTAGAAAGTTATGCGACAAAATTTGGACATTCTGTTCTAATGGTACTGTCTTCCTACTGGTTGACCGGTCATAGCACATGCCAGTCTCCCAGAATACAACGCCCTAGAGTCATGAACTTCTGAGATGGTGTAGCTTCCTGGCTCCTGGACATGTGTTTACCCTCGCCCGCACATGGGGGATGGTTGACGCCCCCCCCCCCCCCCCCCCACCCCAGGCAGTTTTTCTGCTCTGCACTTACTAAGCAAGCACTGACATAAGAAGACCTTACGCGAGACCTTTGCTTATAACTCTGCTCCTAGATGTCGCTAGTATGTATCGCCTGACTGGTAGGCTGTACCGCACCACACACTGCGACGGCCAGGCCTTCAGCCTCTGAGTCTCGGACTGCGCAGGGCGGAGGGCCGGGAGTCGTGGCTGGATGCCAGGTTCGGTCCCGATCATACACCTCCAGTACTTACATGATGCTGTGCATGTTGATAGTTGGGTGTCATGTGCAAACCTGAATCTAAATAAACGGGATGAGTTCAGCCATATCACCTTCCCTTATCACAGCAAGCACGTGGAAGCGGAGCAGCCCACTCACATTTCGCTCGGAGAAGCAGTTGAGGATGGAGCGCGAGGTGAGCCGCTCCAGCACGTGCACCTCCTTCTCGTTGATGCAGTACTGTTCGCGGATGTCCTCCTTGGAGTAGACGGGCGTGCCGCGCTTGTTGCGCGTCAGCTCTGTCCGCCGGCGGCCCATCTCCGTGTCAGAGTCGTACGAGATCACCTCGTGCGAAATGTCCACCTGTCGGACAGCGGCAGAGCCGGCGGAACACTCAGATTCGCGGACAGGCAGTTCGGAGATCCGGCCAGAGGCGAATCCAGCTCAGAGTTTTTTTGGGGGGGAACCATAACAATTTATTAATTCTTTCCATGCCTCGTCCATAGGCGTAATGTTAAAATTATGCCGTTTGGGGGGCAAATGCCCATTTTGCCCCCCTGGATCCGCCACTGGGTCCGGCCGACACACTCGCAGACGTCGCAGACTGCCAGGACGAAGCAAGGAAACTCACGGACACACTGCAGGGGACGCCGAGACTCAAAAGCATGGACAGGCTGTGAAGAGAGGGGCGCCGGGACACTCAGAAACAGACACTCGGCAAGCAAACAAAGTTCACCAGCGCGGTTTCCTTTGCAGGTATAGGCAAACAAAGGAAGCTGGAAATGTTTCGTTGTTGCTATTTTACTTGAACTTTTGTCTAAGGATAAGAAATTGCCTCAATTTTTTATCACCAGCAATTAAAATTGAGAGCAACGCTCCAGACAGGAGGCATGGCGTAAGGAATAAACGAAACGAATAATGGGGCCACCACTTAGCAATAGAAAACGCTCATTTAGCATAACGAGCTTTTATGAAGTGAGAAAAGTCGTTAAAGTTCGCTGACAATGCCACAACATGTATTACCACAGGATGGCAATAAGTGTCCAACTATGACCGGCCGAGTGTTTAGGTACAATTTTCAGGAGCCTCCTTTTCAGAACTAATAATCAATCAGCGGCAGAAGTACCAAGTTCAACAAGCTACCCCCATATGCATAAAGATAGTTATACTGTCTCCACAGCCCTAGCATGCCTCTCCATCTATGTACTTGCGGGTATCGGGAACAGCGCCAGAATTGCTCAGCTTACCTGGCAGGAGGCATCCAGATGGTCGTCCGAGCGGGACGCCTGCAGGTAGCTCTCCCGACTGGGCGCTCGCCGGGTGGTGGGCACCACACCACCTGCGCAGAATAAAGCAACAGGTCAGGCCAGGTCAGGGCGGACGTCGGGTCAGATGTTGGTCAGCAGTGCAGAGTCAGGGGAGGATGGTAGGCAGAGGCACCTCACCAGTATTGGTCTAATCGCAGAAAGCATAAAAGTAATTTATCCGGCAAAGGTCTTATTTCATGCTACGACACCCTGGATAACTTGCACATAGGTATGCAAAAGGAAAAGACTTCTGATGCTACAGCCAAGATGCGACATTGTTTGATGATGAACTTGGGAAAATGATCAACACGTTGGAAAATGCCAAACTGTTTGCGTGGAACGCCGCACCTGTGAAGCTATACGCGTTTTCGTCTGGTGCACGGTGTGTATAAACACTAGCGCTCGGCTGCACATTTAGCAGCTCAGTTTACTGCCAATGGCCGCACCACGCGCCGGTCGTGTCGTCACTCGGATGTGATAAAAACCGACAGGAATCTGGAGCCAGCTGGAGCGCCACCAAACACAACATTTCGCCGGGCCGCCCACGTCTCCGGTGTGCGCTGAATGGTACGCCGAAAATGTGATCACACAGAGGTACCACAACCGACCGTAGCGAGGCATGGTGCATCATATTGGATGAACTGTGTTTAAACAGTTGGCTATAATTTTGTATGTAAAATAAGTCGGATTGCCATCTTTTTAAGTGAACAAAAATTGTTGTTCCACAAGCCACCGTGCTTTATAAAAAATATGATGACTGATTTGTACTCCCCGTCCACCTTGCTAAATGCTTGTTTAACAAAGACGAGCAATACGGGAAAGATACGCGGTAAGGCTGCATAAACGTTCGATTCTGCGACCCATCGTTCCATCGACGGCTCCTCAGCCACTCAGAGTGTGTTTACCGCTGCAAGGAGCCGCCCAGATCAACATCCCACGAGCGGAGAAATTGTTCCCGCGAACCACACTGCGGCTGGCCGGGTCCAGTGTTTGTCTACCGTCCCCGAAACCCTTCTGCGGCTGTTTGTTTACCGTCCCAGAACCCCTTCTGCGGCTCTTTCAGTCTCCACTACAAAGCCCGGCGATCAAGATTGGACGTGGCGCAGCAATACAGGGCTAGTTAGGTGAACGACGAGCGAAACCGAGGGAGCCTGTCCTCTGGCTTAAAAAAGAATAGCATTTCAGTGATGAAGTCAAACCTTTTCTTCTGTTACTGAAAGCACGTATGGTTCAATGAGTGACGGGGGAGATTATAGTAAATGTGCTTCCTTTTGAGATCCGGTCTTGTCTTCCATTCCATCTGCCAACTGAATAGCTAAGTTCCCATTGATATTTTCTTTTTACATCTTTGTACCTGACGATATTCCCTAAAGATACAGGCTCCAGCTGTTAAAACAGAGCAACATACGTCTCTAAACACAACTTTATCGCTCAATACCTCGGGCTGAGAAATCGGATGCGATTCAGTTGGGCCAAAAGCCGCGGCAGGCTCCGACACCCCCGGTCGGCGATGAATTTATGGCACCCTGTGTATCACAAACGCAGCCAGGCGTGTCGACGCCGCCGGCGCGGCAGCGACCGACCAGCGCGCGCCAGTCAATGGCGGCACATCTTCTTAAAAGGATTTCAGGAGATAAAAAAAATCTTCTCCGGGTTTTATCACCGACCGGTCAGCGAAATAGTTGTGTTTACCTGTCTCGAATCGCAGCTCGACTGTTTCAAACATCATGTGTCGTACTGCTGATTTGCGATAGTGTGATTTTGCTGATCCATTAGCTAATTGATTTGATAAGAAGTGATGATAATGGAAGAAGGAAGGAAAGAATGAAGAAAGAGTGTCAATGGAATGTCATGTCAAAAAGTGACAATGGAATTGGGTTAATGATGTAGGTAACGAATTTTACACAATGACGGCGACTTTAAAAGTTTTTTACGAATTTCTACTGAAAACATAAATAAGAATTGATTTTCTGCCACACATCCATCGCGTCAAAGCCTCAAAGCAGTGATGCACAACATATTTTTTGTTTATATTTAAAGTGAATGCGGCACATAAGTAGTTTTTGCCATTTCCTTCTTCCGATTTTATGCGTTTTCTATTAGGCAACTCAGTGCAAACACATTTCGCAGTAGTTGGCTCCAAATGGATAATCCATCCGGACTGAAGAAACGCGAGCCGTCTCCGAGTCGCGACTGTGGACCGCTGATGCATCATCAGACATATCAGCAGCTATTCGACCGGGCCTCGGGAAGGAATTGTCATGCTGCTACGTCAGGGGTGGGCTATCTGAGAATTCGAATGCATCAGCCAGGCATTTGAGTCGGTCATCATGGAATATTGATCCTGGCGGCTACGTGAGGCTCTGCTCTCGTCTCCATTCCAAAAGCTAATGTTTCGTCGTAAATGCGGTCAATTCCTCAAATTTGCCACTGTAATGCTTGTAGAAAGCACTACCCTCCTGAATCCATAATACATCGTCATCAACAATTATTAATGTTTTTTTTTCATAAACATCAACAATTATCATGTTTCATTCAGATATTCTCATTACTATCATTTAGCTGAAAGCTTTTATTGAGGATTGAACACTGTCCCGCTATGCACCATTACCTAAAACATGAGTATAGTCTTAGTCATTGATTTTTGTTGCATGAGCATTGTAAAGGACCGTTTCATAGATGGTCATATCTATTCATGCCGCACTTTCCGCGAAATCAATCTCATGTGACCTTGAGAGTTGACCTAGACTGCAACAGTGTCCGACCGGGAGACATCCGCAGCGCGCAGGTAGTCCGTGCCGACGACCGACGTCCCTTCTCTCCCCACTGAGCACAGACGAACAACCTGGCACACCTCAGCTCAGCACATCACCTGCGCTGGTCCCCAGTAATCACCTGCAATGAGGCTGCGCTGTCAGACGCTCCTTCAGTGACACTCACACCTCGCCACTGTCACTGTCACTGCCACACAGCCCCGGGCACCGGCCGGTCCTCGCCCGCTCCTGTTTGCACCACCCACCCCGTCCCCGTCCGCCCGTCTGCCGACGGCCGCCCGCTCGACTGGAGCGACGGGCCGACGGCGCGGCCACGGCGGCGGCGACACGCCTGCGCCGTGCCTACGGCCGGCCACGGCCGCCGACAGGACCAGGAATAGACGCGGGTGTGTGGCGATACACGGCGCCAACAAACGCCGCACTCTCGGCGAGCCGACGATACCCGAGCGCGCCGGCTCCGGTGACGGGGAGACGACGAGCGCCCGTCTCAGGCAGGTGTCGGTCAGATCATCTGTCACCACATCAGATCAAAGAAAATCGCCCAGAGGTGGTGGGGATATCATGTCACGCAGCACCACATGATGGAGGAGTGGTGGGCTAGGGTGTTAGAAGTGTGCAGGATTCGCATGAAAGCTGTAGCGTCTGCCAAAGTTGGACTATAAAATGTCGCGAACTGTGAAGAACCTTAGAACCTTATAAATAAAATACGTATAGGCATGCTTAAATATTGCAATGAAGAACGAACTCCTTCTTACAGAATTCAAACAGGTTAAGTTGTTCACAAACATTAAAAGAGATGTTAAATGTGACTAATTTATCTGAAACATCGTCATTCACAACTTTATGCCAATGACCATAAATATAACTGAAGTCGACATTCAAAAGAAAAGACCGCTATATAAGTAGGCAGCTAGTGGCGATCGAAATGTATAGAGGTCGAAAAAGCACAAACCTGCCGTGACAACACATGAGGCTCTACTCATTCATGGCATACTTAGCACACAATGGGCTGTTCTAAGGCACTGTTCGTTGAGCGGCATTTAGCAGTTTTCTGACTAGTCGAAATGTAAGGCAACTGGGTTAGAACACCTGCCACCTGTGTCAACTCAAAACTGAAACAGAGACAGGACAACGCTCCATGTGATCTCCACTCAAAACACGCTTTGATGCCTTCAATTAGGTATTTCATACAAGCATCTGCGGCAACCTACCACCACCCCCTTAAGTCGCTAATGAGAAGTCTGGCTGGATGGCCGTCCCCAGTGCAGGCGCTATCGTCTTGCACGGCCGGCGCGAAGTGGCGCAGTCGAGAGGTAACGTTCGCGTGCCAAACGTGCCACCCACTCCTCCCCACCTCCCTCCCTCCCTCACCCCCCTCACCTGGCCGCGCGGAGAGCAGGGGAGGGGAGGGAGGAGAGGGGTGCAGGCCAGAAGCCGTCATCGATCGCACCCGCCGGGCGCGCACCTTCTCCCGTACCGAGCCCGCACCTTCTCCCGTGCCGCCACCGACGGGTTGGGTCCGTACGGATTGGATCCGTAACCAGGCACAGTAGCTTACGGCTATATGGATACAGAGAGCTCACAAGACGGGCTCTGAGAACTGTTGACGGTCTGGGACAGGTGCTGAGCTTAGTGAGACTGAGGGCGGAGCCCATGCTATAGGCAGAAATTGCTCCACACAGGCCCCGCCCCGACTCCTGTCCGATCGGCCAATTATTATAAGATAAGAGAAAGCTGTTCATGGAAAGCAAATAAAGCATTTTGAAGAAGAGTCTGTATCCATGTCATATCAGAGTAGACAAGGTACAACGAACATAAAGAATATAATATCAAGACGGGAAACAGAGCATGAGGAATTGTGTTATACAGTGAAGCGAAATAGTGGAACAAAAATCAGATGTGCTGCCACCATGGTCATTAAGCCGTAGACATTCCAAAAAGGTTTCGAGGTAGATTATCGTTCCAATATATAATAACTGATAACACTGATTATTGATCGATAATAATCAATGCAATTATCTGCACGCTGCGGGTTGCCCACGCCGTCATCAGTAAGCTCTCAAAATCTGAGGCATCCTTGAGCTTTCATAGCGGAAATATGAAGATGAGGCCAGGATGAGGCTGCTAAAATTGGCTTTGTGCATCGATTCAGGATTCTGACACGTGACTTTCTCATACGTGGCACAAAGTTGACCTTGTTCATCGATTCAGGATTCTCACACGGAAGAGTGTTGGCCCCACCATCGAACCGTCATCTT